TAAGACTGCCCAGTAGGTGCGTTGGCTCATGCCTGTAATCCCAGCATTTTGGGAGGCCAAAGGGAGAGGATTGCCTGAGCCCAGGAGTTCAAGACCAACATGGCAAGACCTTGTCTCTACAATAAATTAAAAAATTAGCTGGGCGTGGTGGTGTGCACCTGTAGTCCCAGCAGGTTGAGGCTGCGGTAGTTGTGATCATGCCACTGCACTTCAGCTGGGGCAAGAGTGAGACTCTGAATAAAAAAACAAAACAAAATACCTGTTTTTCTTTAGCCATAATACAGCTTATTTGTCATCCTCAGCTTGAACTGTACAAACTTTCAGTTGAGAATCTGCCTCTGTCCCCATCTGTTGTCTGATTTGGAAAGATTGTAGCTGAGATGGTATTCATTTAAACACTGCCTCTCCAACTCTGGCGGGGAGGAGGTTTGGAAACCAAAGATGAAAAGACTCTGTAAGCTATGGACTACAGCCAGAAAGGAAAGATTGAAAGCTAGAAAATTTAGAAGAAAGTGCTTACTTATTCCTAATGCCAGTACCTTAAAAATATCTTACCTACAACACACTTTGAGATGATCCAGAAATGTCTTACGATGTCTGTCTTTCTTCTTATGGTCTTCCCCAAAAGCATTTGAAGAATACACTGGCCTGGCCACAACATACTGATTCCCAATGGGTTCGATCATTTTGCTTTTTCTAGGTGCTGTGGCAAGTTGAAGACCTTTGGAACTATGTGGTGAACGCTTCTTGCCTTTAGCAGGTTAAAATGCCTGAAACCAAACAGAGCTTGCTTCTTAAATAACTCAGAGATAATGTGATGCAATTTACAGATGATTGAGCTCCGAACTGAATGTTACCACCTTTTGAGATCAAAAAAGGCAGGATTAAGGGACCAAGATTGTGTTTTGCGACAGTGATATCACTTTTTACTCCAATGAGCTGGACATGGCTCTTTTGGGTAAGTAAACAAAAGCTTTTATTTTATTTTTTAGAAAGATTACCAAAAAGTAGCAAAAATTGACTCAGTTTACTAATCAGAGTCCACTTTTTTACTTGTAAAGTAAGATCGTCTCATTAATTTTTTTCCTAGAAACATTTCCAAAGTTATGACATTGGAGTGCTGGGATAGATTAGGTTTAAATACATTTATTTCACCTAACTTCAGTCAAGACCGTTTCAATTTACTCATCAGAATTTTTATGCCTTATAAAATGCTTTTAATTTGTGAAATTCAAAGATATTGTTCATATTAGTTATTTTCTTATTTGTTTATGGGTATTAAATAGATGTTTACAATTTATAGTTGAGGAAACTATGGCACAAACTATAAATTACTTGATTACCTAGTTCGTGAGTGATAGGGTCTTTTTTCAGGAAAGATCTTGGGAAAGTTAACCTCTCTCACCCACATCTGTGTCTTTTAGAGAAGATATCCAAGTTTCAAGGTGATTGTGATGATTGAATGAGAATGTTTTCAAAGCATCTTGCATTGTGCCTAGCACACTGTTGGCATTCACCAAATGGTCCTCATTATTTTAATTACTAGCATCTTCTGCACAAGATGTTTACATTTTTAATTCTTATCTCAATCTTGTTTCTATTATACTTAAAACATCAGTTTTTACAAAACTTTAATGCATGTCACCAATTTAGCCCTCACAATTCTTTGAGACATTTACTGCTGTTGTTATTATTATTATTTTCTTACAAATGAGAAAATAACTACATACATCCCTGAACCCCATCAAAATCTAAGTATTTTTTCTAGGGTTGTACAACTACTAAAGTGTCAGAAATGGGACTTGCATTTTCAGACTTCTTTGCTATTTTTTCTATGACATGCAGCTTCGCTATCAACCAACATGAACACGGTTGAAGAACTGCTAGCATTTTCCCCCAATCTTGGTTCAGTATCATTGTCTGTGGTGCCCAAGTTTTGTTCCTTGACTTCAATCATGATGATTAATTGAATTATCTCACACTAGGCTGTATATTTTTACACAGTGCTCTCTTACACTTCATGGAATTTTCAGCATGTTTACAGAGCTCAAGTTAAACCAGGAGTCAGATACTGGCCTCACCTGACCTCTCTTTGACCACATACTTCCCTCCCCCATCCAATTTTCTAGCCTCCTCTGTCCTCTGTGCTGGCCTTCTCTAACTAGGGAAGTAATGTAGTGCTTCTGCCTCACCCTCTGTCTTGACCCCCAGAATTTGAGTTCCTTTGAGCTCAGTTATGAATTTTTTTGTTGAGACAAAGTGTTTCTCTCTCTCTCTCACTCATATATATATATATATATATATATATATATATATATATATATACAGAGATGGGGTCTCGCTCTTGCTCTGTTGCCCAGGCTAGAATTCAGTGGCATGATCATCATAGCTCACTACAGCCTTGAACTCCTGGGCTCAAGGGCTCCTCCCGCCTCAGCTTTCCATGTAGCTAGGATTACAGGCACACACCATCAGGGCTTCAGTGATGACTTTTCTATTCCCCTTTTGCTGTTCCTTCTGACCTTCCCCCACTCCACTCCCAAGCTGCTTGTCTTCCTCTTTGTCTCTATCCCTCTTCCATCTCTCCACCCACAGATGCAGGGGTCAGATCCCATTAACTAGATAGAACATCCCATTTTCAGAAGAACTTGCTCACCAAGTGGAGTTGACGCGCTTATTGCTGTGCATCGCGTGGATGTTTGGCCCTTTTTGCCAGTTACCGACATCATGGTTGGGGCATTAACAAATAAGATCGAATCCATGACCAATGAGTCCTGACATCAAGCATTGCTTGCAAAGGCTGTCTGGAGTGTTTTCTAAGAACATCTTTAATCCTGTGAGAGATCTAACCCAGCCAACCTTGGGATAAAGAAGACTCATGCATTTTTGCCCTTATCAGATGCTACCATTGCCAGAAAAAAAAAAAAAAGGAAAAGATTCTGCTCTTTGGTAGCTTTACTCATATTTTCATTGAGGAGTTCACAGAAGCTTGTTAGTTCTCTTCCTTAGAAAAAGATCCTGGAGGTACATCTATTCTTCTTCTGGCTGTTGTGTGTTTTCTCTCTACTAAGTTACAGTCTTTTTTTTTTCTTCCCCCAATTACAATGATGGCAGAAAGAACTTCATTTCTGTTCAGCTTTCTTCTCTGGGGATGACTATGGCTGGTTCTGTGGTGGATTTCCTCTTACCTGCAGCTGGATCAAGAGCCTGCCCTCTGGCTTGCCCTGCCCCACACTGGAAAAAGCCTCCTCCTCATACCCAAGCACTGTCTACAAGGGGGGTGCTCAGGGCAGGAAGTAAGACAGTTTAAGAAATCTTTCAAGAATTTGGCCAGGTGCGGTGGCTCACACCTGTAATCCCAGCACTTTGGGAGGCTGAGGCAAGAGGATTGCTTGAGACTAGGAGTTCGAGACCAGTCTGGACAACGTAGTGAGACTTTTCCAGAATTTAAAGAAAGATATGAAGGGTCACATTCTAGTCTTTTTTTTTTTCCTCCTCACTCTCATTTTTGCATTTTCTACTTGTAACAAACAATGTGAGCCCCTGAACCAACCACTCCAATGCTGTTTCTGTTGAAGAACCACTCCAGATAGCCATAAATTAATGTCATTCTCCATTTCATAATTTCTGAGACTCTTGAGAATGACCTATTTTAGTTAGGAATTCAAAGTGATTTTCTTAACTTTTTTTCACTTGAAAAGTTACCTTTTCCCCAGCACTTCTTGGAAAACATTTTTTTTTTGGTTCCTGGAGTCACAATTCCAGTTTCAAATATTACACCCATATTAATGTATGCCTTTTTGTGTTCTAGTTTCATGGCTTAATTCTTTCTGAGTTTCTTAGGATGTCAATGGCTTTTGGGGGATTGATTTCATTCTCAGGGTCCCTTCTTCTTATTAATTTTTAGAACTCTGAGCCTTATTTGTATATATCTTCACTTTTCTCTGCTTTTGTACGATGTGCTTTTTTTTTTCTTTGAGTTGGAGTCTCACTCTGTCGCCCAGACTGGAGTGCAGTGGCCGCTCCTGGTCACCGCAGCCTCGCCTGCTGGGCTCCGGCGATCCTTCTGCCTCAGCCTTCTGAGTAACCAGAATTATAGGTGCGCTACCACGCCCGGCTGATTTTTTGATTTATTGTAGAGATGAGGTCTCGCTGCCCAGGCGGGTCTCGAACCCGTGGACTCAGGCAATCCACTCACCTCAGCCTCCCAAAGACACGGGATGACAGGCTGAGCCACCGAGCCCGGCTACAATGTGCTTTTTAAACATTTTAAATTGTATATACCTTGGTGCTGTGGCCTAGTCGTACACGTTGTTGTTCTCTGCCTTTTTTTTCTTTTTAAGTAAAAATTTAATCCTGGACTTGATTTCTGAAGTTCAATTTCTCACTTTAACTTTTCCAGTTTATTAACAACTTTTTGATATTTTTAGGAATGGTCATGTACATACCCCTCCATCACTCCTCAAAGTTCCAAACTGCTGCCTAAGCACCAATGTCACTGCCTGGCCTCTAGTTCCTTGGAACCTCCACTCTGCCTGCCCCACTCTGCCTGCTACAATCTGCTGGGAAGTGCTTTTTGGCCCTGACCTTCCCACTCAGCATTTACTGTGTTCTAGTCTTTCAGAAAGCTGTTCCTTTTTGCTGAAAAACAACCGATTTGAACCAAGATGCTGATAAGCAATGCCAGAATTTGTCTTTAAACAGTGGTCATTTGGCCAGGCATGCGGGCTCACACTTCTAATCAGCACTTTGGGAGGCCAAGGTGAGAGGATTGCTCTGAGATCAGCCTGGGCAACATAGTGAGGTCTCGTCTCTACAAAAAAATTAAAAAATTAGCCAGGCATGGTAGTGTGTGCCTGTAGTCTCAGGTACTAGGGAGACAGAGGTGGGAGGATCACTTGAGCCTGGGAATTTGAGATTATGATGAGCTGTGATTATGCCACTGCACTCCAGCCTGGGAGACAGTGTGAGACCTTGACTAAATAAATAAATACATAAATAAATAAGTAAATAAATAAATAGTGGTCGTTTGAAACCAGGAGGCAGACCAGCGTGCAGAGCATTCTATCCCCTCCCCAGACCCATTAGATGTCTCCATTCTTGCACAAGGCAGGTCTCGTGACATCATGGGTCAGCTGCTGTTCAAGTTCAGGAGGGACTTCATGGAGACATGGCTGAAGATGCCACCCTCTTCTGGAAAACTGCTGAAAACACTACTCTTTTCATGAATCTCAAAATACCCCAGTGTCAGGCAGTGGAAAACCAGAGGTCCATCAGCCCTAGTTCATGAACGAACCCACAGACGACAGGAAGAACAACAGCATCCTGATGACTGTACCTGGGGGAAGGGACGAGAGATGGGAGAGCATGCCGAACGATGGCTCCAGTGAGCACTTTGAGAGGGACTGCGGTCAGCAGCAAGAGAGGAACCGGAAATGAAGGGCACCAAGAGCTCCTCATTCAAGGGGGTGTCAAGCCAGCTGGAAGCAGGGGGATGATGGCCTCAGACTCAGAGAGGGCTAGAGTGACAATGAGGAGAGGAGGGGATCTCAGCACTGAGGTTGGTGAAGAGAGGTCCGAAGGGGTCAGAGGCTGTGGTGGGCAATAGGTTCCAGTTAAATGCTGTGATTCTTGTGTGCTTCAGTCGTGTTTAAAATAGGGCAGGGTGACTAAATAAGTAAACGATGATGGGGGACCCCCAAAAACCGGAATTATTTTTTGGAGGGTGGGCCCCTTAGAGTACACTCAGAGTTTGTTTCTCCAGATCAAATGGTCAACCAACGTTTTTATCTGGAAGTTTTGAGAAAGTTGCATCATGATTTGCAAAAGAAATATCCTGAGTTGTGTCAAACAGGTGACTGGTTCTTCCACCATGACAATGCACCTGCCCACACTCTGCTGAGTGTTCAGCAGTTTTTGACCCCAAATGGCATGATCTTCAGGTCCATCCCTCCCTATTCACCCAATCTTGCCCCCAACGATTGTTTTTTGCTTCCCCAGGTGAAAAAAGTCCTCCAAGGGAAATGTTTTGCTGATGGAAGAGATGAAACAAAAAATGGCAGATGCACTAAAGGCATCAAGTTCAGAAATTGTTTGGACCAGTGGAGAAAGTGACTTGATAGGTATATTGCATCAAATGGAAGGTACTTTGAAGGTGACTGCGGTTTAAACAATTAAGAATAAATTTTTTAAATAAATAAATTCCGGGTTTTTTTGGGGTCCCTCTTGTATATCTTTTACTTCTAATTCAAGAAGTCTGGGTTGGGTGTATATAATACTAGCACTTTGAGAAACCGATACAGTAGGATCGCTTGAGGTCAGAAGTTCAAGACCAAACTGGGCAGCATAGCAAGACCCCTGTCTACAAAAAAATTTTAAAAATTAGCCAGGGCTGGGTGTGGTGGCTCAAGCCTATAATTCCAGCACTTTGGGAGGCCGAGGTGAGAGGATTTCCTGAGCTCAGCAGGTCAAGTCTGCGGTGGCCGGGAGCATGAGTCTGGGCAACAGAGTGAGACTCTGACATACACACACACACACACACACACACACACACGCATGGAGGTATGCACCTGTAGCCCTAGCTACTCAGAAACCCAAAGCAGGAGGATCACTTGAGCCCAGGAGTTTGAGGCTGCAATGGGCTATTATCATGTCACTGCACTCTAGCCTGGGCAAAAGAAGTTTGTTTATGTGTTTTATCTAATTTATAGTGGTCTTATAGCATCTCCTAGGAACTCAGATTTAGTTTAATTTTAGTTTCGGCATTACACTTATTATTTCTACTATTAATTTTCATCTGTTCTATTACCACATGGCCCCTAATGCTGAAAAACGAAGTCAAACCTAATTTAGTTAGGAAGTACAGCAGGAAATAATGAGAATTTGCAATGAAGTAGACCCAATTTCAAATCCTTGCTTTGCCATTTCTTAACTATGTTTGTGCTGGCCAGATGATTCCAGCCTTAGTTTTTTCTAATAGCAAAAGGGGAAGGCCGTTATCTTCCTCGTGGGGCTGTTATCAAAGCTGACAGTAAAGTATACGAAGAGAGACTTCTTTGCCTTAAGTTCATAGGTAACAGACTCAGGACTGAGTTTCATATTGACTGTTTAGACAGAACTGACACAGTGCCCACGTGACAAAAGTCAGCTAGAACCCGTTGGGAAATGTTAGTGCTGCCAACGTTGCTGTGAATGTATGTTTACTCTGAATTTATCTCCAGAAGTAGCTATTTTCCATTCTTATCCCAGTTTATTTTAATGTAATTTTTAAGGAATCTGCCCATTGAAGCTTCCTAGCATGGCATACAAGGCCCTTCATATTTCTGCTCTGGCCTGTCCAACAGGCTTCTTCGTTTCCCCTTCACAGTCACAGGAGCACACCGTGATATTTAACATCTCTGTGTCTTTGCACACATTGCTTCCTTTATTTGTGTTCTTTTCCTCCATTGCCTGCTAAATTTTATTTCATTTCATTTTATTTTTTTGAGACAGAGTCTCTCTCTGTCACCCAGGCCGGAGTGAAGTGGCACTGTCATGGCTCACTGTAGCCTCAACCCCCTAGGCTCAGGTGATCCTTCCATTTCAGCCTCCTGAGTAGCTGGGACTACCAGCGTGTGCCACTGTGCCTGGCTAAATTTTTGTAGATATGAGGTCTTGCCATGTTGCCCAGAGTGCTCTTGAAATCCTGGATTCAAGTAATCCTCCCACTTTGGCCTCCCAAGATGCTGGGATTACAGGCATAAGCCACCACGCCTGGCCACTAAATTTTAATTCATTCTCAAAAATATCCAGCTGTCCCTAACAATTAATTCATTACTTCATTCCTTCAACAACATTTATTGACCTATTGTTTGGCAGGAACTCAGCTTCTAACACAGTTGTATAAGGTAATAAAATACTGTAAAGCAGAATTTTACAGAATTCCCATAAGTTTAATGGAATTTCATGAAATTTCCTAAATAGAGTTAGTCATTTCTTTTTTGTAAGTACTTTATATATACTTATACTTCATATTATACTGTATGGTCATTATTTATGTTTCTTTCTCCTATTTCTCAAGGGCAAGGTCACATTTTAATCATTCTCCCCCCTTTTATATAGGTCCTGTAAGATTGTAAGTATGAAATAAGGTTTGTCTAAATAAACTGAACTATGAACAAAAGATATATCAATAATATGATCTGAACTCCAGAGTTTACATACATAGAAGTGCCCCACATTATTGGTACAGATAATAAATGGAATGAAGAAAGAACATGAATGTGGACTGGAGTTGAGGAAGGTTTCGTGAAGGTCTTGTGTTAGACCTTAAGGAGTAGATACATTTGGGCAGGGTGTTGAGAAAGCAATAGAAACCGGCAAATCTTGTACAGAGGATAGTAAGAGATCCAGAAACTGACACAGAAGGATTTGTTGGCCAGAAGGCTAAATTGTTCGAGAAATGTTGGGATGTGCCGCAGCAAGGAGTTTCAGACCAGGAGACTCACAGAAGAAGACAGAGAATCCCTGACCATTTCTACAAGTCTTTGAGGTTTTCTAAGCACTTTCACTTTTCTTTCTGAGCATTATCCTGTGAAGAAGGCAGAGAAGACAGGCATTATTATCGCCAACTTTCAGATGGAGAAGTCGCAATGAGAGGAGATAAATGACCTTCCCAAGTCTCTAGCTAGCAAGTGACAGTGCTCCAGGGAGAAATCACATCTTGTGAATAACTGACTCTCTTCTCTGCTAACTTCTGACATGTTAATGAGCTCCAGGTGAGGCATACTCAGTACCATTGTCCCTGAGTATAAGAGCCCCACTCCCCACACTCCTACTCTGTATTACACAGACAAAAAGTAACTCTAGGTAGCCTGGGGCTCCATCTCCTCGGGTGAACTAATTTCTCAGCGAAGTGACACAGAGGCTAGCGGTGCTCTTCTGTTCTCTTTGTTTGGAGAATCAAAGAGCTTTACTATAGAGAAGAGCTAGGCTATATTATTACTTGTTTATTTTCATAATTTAAAAATATGCATTCTCCTTTTATGAACTATTTAATAGGTTTTATACACTTGTTCATTTACTGATATGCTTACTTCTTCATTTATCCAGAAGGTAAAGTACGTACTGTTTTAACCCCTTATAAACTACTTGTTTCTGAAATAAAATAACTGCTTCCTCATTTCTCTGTAGAGATGATCTTTATGTGACCAGCTCTCATTACATGGTTTCTCCAAATGACAAATTTACTTTAGAAGAGAGAAATACTTAGTCTAATGATTTACTAAATTGGCTCTCAATTGCATATGTAAAGAATGTTGTGTAATCCTTTCCTCACATTTTAAAGAATGAAATAGACTTTATCTTGGTGCAGCTGATAACCTATGGGATAGTACCCCTGTATGATATAATATATAATATTACATCATATCATCTTATTGTATATTATAGTATAATTATGCTACTTGTGGCATAGGGCACTTTGCTACTTTCCAGTGACATTGGTACAGGTAATACCAATTGTGACAATCTTTTCTCTAGCTCCCCTCTCTTTCCACTCTCTATCCTTCTTGCTCCTATTGCCTTTCTCCTCTTTCTCTTAGTCTTGAACTTTTTGGGGTGTCTGGTAGATAAATCCCTCATATCTCGACCAAACAATTTTTTTCTTCCTTCCTTCCTTCCTTTCCCCTTCTTTATTTTTCTCTTTCTTTCTCTCCTTCCTTCCTTCTCCCCCTCCCCCTTCTTATGTGGTCTCACTATGTTGCCTAGGCTGGCCTGGAACTCCTGGGCTCAAGCAATCTTTCTTTCTCAGCCTTCTGTGTAGCTGGACCTATAGGCACCTGGCTAGAACCAGATGACTTTTCTAAATCCCTCCTAACAGATGATTCTGTCCCCTGGAGAAGTTCTTTCCTAAAAGCTTTCTTTATTTGTCAACTTTCAGAGTAGATGATCTACCTATAAAGTCATATCTGAGGGAATAATTAAAGAAATAATATGAACGATTAGGGCAATAGCCACTGCTATCTTTGAAAAGGGTATTTAAGCCTTAACAATGCCTACAACCATTTTTATGATAAATTAAAGGCTACTCAAATATTTAATTTCCATTGCAAGTGTTCCAGACATATATACATAGCCTATTAGTGGAATAATTCCAAGTATACATGCTCATGGAATAAACTCGAGATCATAACAGTAACTTCTAAATAGGCTTTGATTAGAAAACATATCATTTTCAAAAAAGAAAAAAAGAGTTTGAATAGAATGATCATAAATTTGGTTCCTACCTGACACGCACTCAGTGTGGAACTTCAGCAACAGTGGAAAGTTCTCAAGATAAAGTAACCTTATTCTAAGAGCCAGTCCATCTACTTGGGTCTATAGGTTCTGCGTGCATCCATATGTATAGGGATGTCTATATATAGGCTATGTAAGACAGTGGGCAAATTACCTTTCTGTCAGCTGTAATAACTAACTTTCATTAACTTTTACAACAATGAAAAGACTGCAATGTGGTCTTGACCTTTGAGACTTTGATTAGCAGACGTGATATGAAAACAGCTTCCTCAAGTTCCTTGTGAGATTACACCACCCGTTGCACTTGTGTGTATGTGGATTTCATTGCTTTGCAGAGATTTGCACAGCAAATGTGCATGTGGAAGTTAAAAACAACAACAAAAACAATAACCAACATAACTTCACGAGGGTTATCTCCCTGACATTTTACCTACCAGTTTAGATGGGAGTTCAGTGGTGTTGTTTCTTGGCTGGATGACTCCATGAAATAACCATGGGCTGTAAAAGAGTGGTGTCCAGGTTAACTCCTGGTGTGACAAAGGCCTGCTAGAAATACTTTTCCAGCTACTGGCAACAGGTCACTATTTGCACCCCCAATTTCTGCTCCCACCACAGCTCTTCCAAAGAGCAATACATTCTATGTTGCTGAAGGCAAGTACTTTCAACTCTCATCTTACTTAACCTGTTAGCATTTGATCCTGCCGAATACACTTTCTTGAAATCTTCTCTTTCTTGAGTACTAATTAATTACTTTTTTTAAAAAGAGATGGAGTCTTGCTATGTTGCCCAGGTTGGTAACAAAATCCTGGCTTGAAGTGATACTTTTAACACTTTATTTTTCACCTCACATTTCTTTTCCAACTCTTCCTTGATCTAACTCTTTATTTGTCATTCCCTCAAGGTTCGTCCTGGACCCCCTTCTCCTCTCTCTACTTTCTTACCCCAAATTAAGTTCCATGCCTCCCCATGACATTCAAATGTCCAGCCTTCAGATCCACATATTTACCCGCCTATTCAACACCTCTGCTTGGACACACCATAGGCATCTCAAATGTGACACATCCCAGTCTGAACTTTTGATGCTCCTCCCAAATGTGCTCCATCTCTAGTCTTATTTGTTTCAGTAAAGTATACTCCACTTTACTCATGTCAGAAAACTGGGAACCATCGAAAGTGGACTGAATAAAGAAAATGTAATACATAGGTTGGGCATGATGGCTCATGTCTGTAATCTCAGCCCTTTGGGAGACTGAGGCAAGAAGATTGCCTGAGGTGAGAGTTTGAGACCAGCCTGGACAACATGGTGAGATCTCATCTCTACAATAAATCAGAAAAATTAGCTGGATATGGTGGCACCCGCCTTTAGTCCCAGCTACTTGGAAGGCTGAGGTGAAAGGATTGCCTGAGCCCAGGAGGTCGAGGCTGCAGTAGTTGTGATTGCGCAGCTGCCCTCCAGACCAGGCAAAAGAGTGAGATTCCAACTTAAAAAAAAAAAAAAGTGGTACCTTTACACTATGTAATATTATGCAGCCACAAAAAAGAACAAAATCATGGCCTTTGCAGCAACATGGATGCAGCTGGAGACCATCATACTAAGTGAACCATCACATAAATAAAGACTGAACACCACATGTTCTCACTCATAAGCGGACCCTGATCTCTGTCATGTGAGCACAAGGGTGGGATTGGCAGACGCTAGACACTGCTATGGGAAAAAGTAAGGGAGGTAGGATGGGGGCAACACACCGGGTGCCAGGTCCACTATCAGGGTACAAGGGGGCCCACTAGAAGTCCAAACTTCATCTATATTCAACTTACTTAAGTAGTAAATCCTCACATGTACCCCACAACTCTAAAATTAAAACAAAACAAAAACCTGGAAACCATCCCTGACACTTCTTCTTGTCTACATGCAAGAAGCCAGCCAATTTGTCCCCAAGTTCCCTTGAATCTGCCTTCAAAATGTATCCTAAAGCCATTGCTTTTCTTCATCTCTAGTCTCAACCCTGTCTTCCAAGCCACCACTATTCTCACAAGAGCCCCTCTGTCACTGCTTGCTCCCTCTAGCAGCTCTCCCAGCCTCTTGACCACCTAAGAGAATCACCTGTTCATGGGAGTCCTCTTCATGGAGCTAATAATGGTACTTAGGGTAAAAGACCTCCAAAGTCTTGTGCGACCTCCCCCTGTCTGGCTCTCCAACCTCAACTGTTCTCACTCTCATTTCCTCCACTCTTTCCACATTGACCTCTTACAGTCCCCTGAATCTGCCAGGTCATTGCAGACGTTGTGTCCTCTGCTTAAATGCACTTCTTCCTCTCTATCTGGCTGTTACTTAGCCTGGATATCACTTCCTCGCACAGAACCCCTTCCCAATCTCAGTTTGCCCCTCTTTAAAAATTATGATTCTTAGCCTCCTGGGCCTCCTGGGCTCAAGCAATCCTCCAGCCTCAACTTCTTGGGTAGTTGAAGCTCTACAGGCCTGCACCACCACACCTGACTGATTTTTCTATTTTTTTGTAGAGATGGAGTCTTACTTTGTTGCCCAGACTGGTTTTAAACTTCTGGCCTTAAGCAGTTCTCTCACTTCAGCCTCCCAAAGTGCTGGGATTACAAGTGTGTAATCACACCAGTCTAATATTTTGATTTTTTTCTTTTGTAGAGACGAGGTTTTGCTATGTTACCAAGGCTGATTTCAAGCTCCTGGGCTCAAGCAATCCTCCCACCTCAGCCTAACAAAGCACTGGGATTACAGGCATAATCCACCACACCAGGTTATATGTACTCTTTTAAATGTAGCATCATGACTGGGCATGATGGCTCAAGTCTGTAATCCCAGCACTTTGGGAGGCCAAGGCAAGAGGATTGTCTGAGCTTATAGGTTCAAGACCAGACTGGACAACTTGGTGACACCTCGTCTCTACAATAAATAAAAAAATAAGCCAAGAGCGATAGTGGGAGCCTGCAGCTCCAGTTACTTGGAAGGCTGAGGAGGAAAGATAGCCTGAGCCCAGCAGGTTGAGGCTGCAGTGGCCATGAGCATGCTTCTGCACTCCAACCTGGGCAACAGAGTGAGACTCCAACTTAAAAAATAAATAAATAAATGTAGCATCATAATTTTAAAAATTCACAGTTATTTACTTGTGTAATGTTTGACTCCCTCATTAGAATGAAAGCTCCATGCAGGCAGGGACTTTGTCTTATTCAGTACTGTATGTCCTCTACCTAGATTGAATTAATCACAGAACCTACTCAATAGATATTGGTTGAATGGCAGTTAAAGGAATAAATTATATTTGATATCACACAATTCCAGAAGAAGTTGGACAGGCGACTAAAGTTTGTTCTAACCTGGTTCACACGTGTGGGCAAGGAAGTGTGCAATATATTTTCTTGGGTTTATCCCAATTTAATTTTCACAACAAACATATGCAGCATAATATCCTTATTCCCATTTTACAAATGAGCATAGTGAGATTTGGTCTAAGTGGTGGAGCCAATTAGAACCCAGGAACCCACTTAAATGAATATTTACCATGTAATACTGATTTTGATTATTTTAACAAGTTCATAGCATATTTATTCAGAACCATTGTGCATTGACTAAATTGTGTGTTTAGGTTTGGTTGCTAAAAGAACTGGAAAATACTGCATATAAAGATAGAGTCTCAGAACTACTGATTGGTTTAAAAATTTTTTTTTTTTTAAGTAAGAGTCTCACTCTGCCACTAAGGCTAGAGAGCACGCTCATGGCCACCACAGCCTTAAACTGCTGGGTTTGGGTGATCCTTCTGCTTCAGTCTTTCAAGTAGCTAGAACTACAGGTGCGCAGCACCACACCTGGTTAAATTTTTAAAAAATTTATTGTAGAGATGAGGTTTCACCAAGTTGCCCAGGCTGGTCTTGAACCCCTGGGTCCAAGCAATCCTCTCATGTTGGTCTCCTAAAATGCTAGACATGAGCCACCGGGCTCAGCCAAGACCAGTTTAAAAATTATTTATATTAGAACAAATAAGAGAGTTTTGCAAGACTGATGATGACAAGCCGAATAAACATGATATAATAGCCTTACTATATACTAACAATAACCAAGTAGTAAATATAATGAAAAGAAAGATTCCATCAGTAATTAGAGGGAATAAATCGTATCTAAAGATACACAAAAACTTTCTAGAGAAAATTGTAGCACATCTTTAAGGGACAAAAAGAAAGCTTAAGAAAAGTGTAAAGTCATACATCATCAAGGATGTGAAGGCTCAATATCATAAAGACGTTCTCTTCAAATCAATCTAATACTTAAATACTATTGCAATTAAAATCTAAAAGTTTTTTTTCTTTTTTTTGAGTTGGATCTCACTCTGTCGCCCAGACTGGAGTGCAGTGGCCGCTCCCGGTCACCGCAGCCTCGACCTGCCGGGCTCCGGCGATCCTTCCGCCTCAGCCTTCCAAGGAGCTGGAACTACAGGCGCGCGCTACCCCGCCTGGCTCATTTTGATTTATTGTAGAGATGAGGTCTCGCCAAGTTGCCCAGGCGGGTTTTGAACCCGCGGGCTCAGGCAATCCACTCACCTCAGCCTCCCAAAGCATGGGATTACAGGCTGAGCCACTGAGCCCGGCTTAAATGTTTTTTTTTTTTCACAGAATTGGACAGACTTGTTCAAAAACTTGCAGGGCAGCACACAGGGCCAAAAAAAGGACAAGTTTTTATTGATACATAATTGTACATATTTTGGGGGTACATGTGATATTTTGATACATGCATATAATGTATAATAATCAAATCAGCGTAATTGGGATATCCATCACCTTGAACATTGATTATTTCTCTGTGTTGGAAACATTCCAAGTCTTCTCTTCTAGCTATTTTGAACTACACAATAAGTTATTGTTAACTATAATCACCCTACCGTGCTATTGAACACTAGAACTTATTGATTTCCTCTTGCTACATGTTTTTTTTTTTTTGAGTTGGAGTCTCAGTCTGGTGCCCAGACTGGAGTGCAGTGGCCGCTCCTGGCCACCGCAGCCTCGCCTGGTGGGCTCCGGCGATCCTTCCGTCTCAGCCTTCCGAGTAGCCGGAATTACAGGCGCGCACTACCGCCAGGCTGA